GACATGACTTGCCCTTGGTGAATCCATGCTGACTGTTACTGATCACTTTCCTCTCCTCTAAGTGCTTCAGAATTGATTCCTTGAGGACCTGCTCTATGATTTTTCCAGGGACTGGGGTGAGGCTGACTGGCCTGTAGTTCCCAGGATCCTCTTTCTTCCCTTTTTTAAAGATGGGCACTACATTAGCCTTTTTCCAGTCGTCCGGGACTTCCACCGATCGCCATGAGTTTTCAAAGATAATGGCGAATGGCTCTGCAATTACATCCGCCAACTCCTTTAGCACTCCTGAATGCAACGCATCCACCCCCATGGACTTGTGCACGTCCAGCTTTTCTAAATAGTCCCGAACCACTTCCTTCTCCACAGAGGGCTGGTCACCTCCTCCCCATGCTGTGCTGCCCAGTGCAGTAGTCTGAGCAATAATCCAATAATCCAGCCTCGTCTGCAGCAGTTATCCAGTGTTCATTTGCTGCTCATTTAACCGACTCTGATACTGACCTGAGTGATTTTAAGGGACTGACAAAAACAGCCAAGAGCAATGACATTCCAGTGCAGGTTCCGATGGGCAAATGTCCATTTATACCCAGTGGAGCTGGAACATTTTTAGTAGTGGGGGTGCTGAAGGCCAGCATCCTTGCCCCTGTCTGCTGTCCTGGGAGCAGGGCCGTGTCTCTGGGAGGGGGAGGACCCAGACAAGGGTAAGGGGGCCAAAGCTGTGGCCACAGCTGGGGGTGGGCGTGGGGCCAGGAGCAGAGCCCCAGGCAGAGGCCAGGAGCAGAGCCCCAACTATGGGGCCGGGCGTGGGGCCCTGGGAGTGGAGCCCTGGAGGTCGAGGGCCAGGCACTGGGCCTCAGGAGTGGAGTTCTGGGAGTTGGGGGGTGGGGCTAGGCACAGGGCCCGCGGCTGGGGAGTGGGGCCAGTGGCCGGGACCTTAGAAAGAGAAAGAAAAGGAGTACTTGTGGCACTTTAGAGACTAACAAATTTATTTGAGCATAAGCTTTCATGAGCTACAGCTCACTTCATTGGATCCATACAGTGGAAAATACATTGGGGAGATTTTATATACACAGAGAACATGAAACAATGGGTGTTACCATACACACTGTAACAAGAGTGATCAAGAAAGGTGAGCTATTACCAGCAGGAGAGTGGGGCGGGGTGGGTCAGGGGGGAACCTTTTGTAGTGATAATCAAGGTGGGCCATTTCCAGCAGTTGACAAGAACAGTATGTGTGTGGGGGGGAATAAACATGGGGAAATAGTTTTACTTTGTGTAAAAAGAAAAGGAGTACTTGTGGCACCTTAGAGATTAACCAATTTATTTGAGCATAAGCTTTCGTGAGCTACAGCTCACTTCATCAGATGCATCCAATGAAGTGAGCTGTAGCTCACAAAATCTTATGCTCAAATAAATTGGTTAGTCTCTAAGGTGCCACAAGTACTCCTTTTCTTTTTGCGAATACAGACTAACATGGCTGTTACTCTGAAACCTTACTTTGTGTAATGACACATCCACTCCCAGTCTTTATTCAAGCCTAAGTTAATTGTATCCAGTTTGCAAATTAATTCCAATTCAGCAGTCTCTTGTTAGCGTCTGGTTTCAGAGTAACAGCCGTGTTAGTCTGTATTCGCAAAAATGAAAAGGAGTACTTGTGGCACCTTAGAGACTAACCAATTTATTTGAGCATGAGCTTTCGTGAGCTACAGCTCACTTCTCAAATAAATTGGTTAGTCTCTAAGGTGCCACAAGTACTCCTTTTCTTTTTGTTAGCGTCTGTTTCTTAAGTTTTTTTGTTGAAGAATTGCCACTTTTAGGTCTGTAATCGAGTGACCAGAGAGATTGAAGTGTTCTCCGACTAGTTTTTGAATGTTATAATTCTTGACATCTGATTTGTGTCCATTTATTCTTTTACGTAGAGACTGTCCAGTTTGACCAATGTACATGGCAGAGGGGCATTGCTGGCACATGATGGCATATATCACGTTGGTAGATTTGCAGGTGAACGAGCCTCTGATAGTGTGGCTGATGTGATTAGGATTATAACATTCAAAAACCAGTCGGAGAACACTTCAATCTTTTTGAGCACACCTCCCCCCCTCCCCCCGCTCTACTGCTGGTAATAGCTCACCTTTAATGATCACTCTCATTACAGTGTGTATGGTAACACCCATTGTTTCATGTTCTCTGTGTATATAAAATCTCCCCACTGTATTTTCCACTGAATGCATTCAATGAAGTGAGCTGTAGCTCATGAAAGCTTATGCTCAAATAAATTTGTTAGTCTCTAAGGTGCCACAAGTACTCCTTTTCTTACTGTATGGAGGATGCCCCTCAGTGGCAAATCCCACCCGCTGCCTTTTGAAGTGTCTCCAGCCGAAGGGTGGTAAAGCACAGAGATCTGGCGCAACCCCCTTTCGGAGCATTGCAGATTCTCTGGGAGCATCAAATATAAGGACTCCAGCCCACGACAGATCTCAGTTGCTTTTCAGACGTAATCCTCCCTCCCCCTGTATGAATCTGATCACAGTCATTTCCATTCACATGCCCCTAGGTGTGCAAAACTCCAACTGGTGTTACACGCTCATATGAATTCCAGAACTAGGGCCTTCACTATAGGCAGAGCACATAGCAATGCCTAGCACGAAGGTTGCCTTGCTTAAGCATTTCTATTCTAATGGGCTATTTTCAGCAGCTGAAACATTTCTCCAGCTTTCACTTTCCAGGCTGATATTTATAGGTCTGTTCTCTGCCAGAGGGTGAATTTTTCTTTAAGATTGAGCAAAACCAGTTCAGCTATTTTTGAGTAGGCAGTGGGTGAAAAAGATACATTTTTGGCACTGTAAAGAAAACCTGTTGCGACCATTCTTTTCAAATCGCAGTAACCCCTCAGAAACTTAAAATCCAGCCCAAAATAGTCTCTAAATTGGACATACGAATAATAGCAGGGATCACACTTAGCTCTTAGACGGCGCTTTTCATTAGTAGCTCTCCGAACACTTCACCAAAGAAGGCAGGATCATTGTACCCATTCTACAGATGGAGAAACTGAGGCCTGGGTAGGCTTGTTCCTTGCAAAGACCCATTGGCAATCTTCTTTGGCTGAGCTATCACGGCTCAGAGTGGATTTTCAAAGGAGCCCAATGAAGTCGGAAGGACATACTGCATTTTTTAATTCACAGGAAAGGGTTCCTCCATTAGCATGACCCCACTGTTCTGGGGGCACTGCACATGCATGCGGGAGCGGGTGGAGTAGAATTTCTCTTTCGGCATGTAGGTCCCGGGTGGAATCTGATCTTCGAGTGTGCGCCAAGGCAGAGCTCCTAGCTTGGGAGGGCGTGCCTCATTGCAACATGGGTTTGTATCCCCACTGTCCAACGCTGTGCCTGCTGGTTCGTTTAGTACATGGAATCTGATTTCTGCAGTGAATGAGGCAGGGGTCCCCCAGAAAACAATAGCCTGTGATCGTAGGGGCAGGGCTAGATAAGGAGTCCCGTTCTGTCTATCTTAGGTAGTCATATGGCCCCATTACCTTGATAATGGATTTGTCTTCACATCACCCCTGTGAGATAGGACCAGACTATTCGCCCCATTTTACAGAGGGGGAACTGAGGCACAGAGAGACCAAGTGACTTGCCCAAGATCACACAGAAAGCCTGTGGTGGAGTGGGGAATTGAACCCTAAATCCTATGCGAGCACCCAAACCACTGGACTATGCTTCCTCTGTCAATGCCTGCTTTTCCCATGTTCTGGCAGAGCACAAATGGCTAAGGTCAATAAGATTGGCACTTAAGGTAGAGAGCAGTTTATCATGTCTTGCTTGGTGCTGGTTATGCTTTAGTTTGGTTACCTCCTTGTATTTCCTCCTTGCACAGCAGAGGAATTCACATGGTCTAATAAGCCCTTGCTCTGTGATCCTTTGGCAGATGTTGTTTGTTTATGTAACTTTCTCCCTGTGGTTTGCATCTCCTCTGCTTGTAATTCAGTGCTTGGGACACAGGACACATGAATTTGCCCGGCAAAGAGAGCGAATCCAAGTGTGATAGACAGTAGAGTCCAAGGCAGGGCTCCTAAACACTCTGATATCTCACCCTTCAGAGACTTTATAATAGTCTGAAAATGTTCATTGCTACAACATAGGGGTAAAATACTCCTCTCTGACCCACACAGTGGAAATGTACTTCTTATTTGCTTTACAGTAACACCTAGAAGTCCCATACACTTAGTAAGAGACAGTCTGTGACCCAAAGAATTTATAGTCTAAATGGATGAGACACTGAAGGTGATATTATCCCCATTTTACAGATGGGGAACTGAAACACAAAGACTTTTAAGTGACTTACTCAAAATCATATAAGAAGTCTGGGGTAGATCCAGGAATTGAACTCAGATCTCCTGGGGTCTAGACCTGCACATTAACCACAATATTAGCCTTCCTCTCCATGTTACTTTGAAAGTCCACTCTACCTAAATGAGCAGGAATCCATGGATATTTTCTCCCATATATGCTGGGAGAGCAGAAAATCAGAGCTGAGATTCTTCAGTGCAGCTCTGAGAGCAGAATTGCACCCTGGGAAAGCAAATCCTTCATTTCATCACAAGTCTTAGCAAAATAAAATAAAAAGAAATTACAGTTTAAAGAAAGGACAGGAATTTTTACACTGTAAAAATGAATAAAAACAACTGGCAGAACACTCTCTTCACGTGGCTTAAAATACGCTATGTACAGTAAAATAATTATGACACAATCCTGCTTCCCTTTAAGTGAGTGGGGAGTTTGCAGTTGATTTCAATGGGTACATGATTGGGCCCATTGTTAAAGTTTAGAATGGAATTGTTGTATTAGGGTGGTATTTTCAAAGGAGCTTCAGCAAGTTAGTTGCCCAACTCCCACTGATTTGATTCTTACTGCCTTAGAATACCCCATTCTAAATATGCAATAGGTTGCAGTCAATTCCACTGAAGGGGGAAATTAACCTAACTGGTTATAATTTGCATTTAGGTCTGGAAGTGTCAGAAACCACTGGACAGAGATCTACTCTTTTGTCGAGAGCCTGGCTGAGAAGTTTATAAGGTAAAGTTTTCACAAGCGGAGACTTCAATTACAATATACATAGTGTTTCATCTGCTGCTTTCTTAGAGGCTGCCAAATATGCTGAGACGATCTTGCGTGTGATGTGGATTTGTTCTGTCTGTTTCAGTCCAATGCTGCGCATGTCCTTCATTGTCTTTTCCTCGCGAGGCACTACCATCATGAAGCTAACAGAAGACAGGTAAGTACTTCACCTCCTTCAACCCAAGAGAGCTAGGGACTCCTTAACTACTGCAAGAGCTCAGGACTGGCTAACGTTAGTCTTTAGTGTGGATCCGCTCCTGCGCCTATTGGAATCAACTGAGGCGCTTCCATTGGGAGCAGGATCGAAGGTCATATGCAGAACAGCCCTTTGGTATCCCATTTGCAGCCCTGGGACAAGCAGGTAGCTCAATGCGCTGGTGCTCTATCAAGCAGCATTCCTAAGGCAAGCCCGGCACTTGCAATCCGGGAGCAGTTGCCCGCTTTAGGTACGGCAGCGCCACCCCACTGATTTCAGAAGGGCAGTTCTGGGGTAAGAGAGAGCAGGCCCTGGCACTGTGTGCAGAAGACACGGTGTGATAAAGTGCTGCAGTGTTCTCCAGGAGCGGTCCAAAGCATTTCAGCAATCAATCCTGCATGGTTCTGGACCACTGCTAAAGGATATGGCTGGATATTGTTTTGCAAGAAGTGCTTCCTACTCGCACCATCTGCTTCGAATGCTGCGCCGCTGCAAAGCCAGCCAGAGGAGAATTCCATCCTGTGCTCCAGTGAGAGAAAGGGGAGAATCTGAGACTGCAGCAAACCTCCTGTTTCTGCCCCCCTTTGCAACCAGATTCACTCTCTGTTGATTGACTTAGGGCTGAACTTTTGCCCTCACACAGTCTGTTTCCCTCTCCCCTCCGCTATATCTATCACACTGGCCATCTCTCCCTATGTGTCTGGTGCTGGTAGTGCTGTGTGCCTACGTCACTCTGAAGCACCTCTTAAAGGGAGGAGAGGGGAATTGGAATGGTTTAACCGACATCTGGAGACAGCCTCTCAGATCCTTCTGCATATTCTGGGGCCTGGCCCTGAAGCCGACTGGAGTGTTTCCATTGACTTCACTGGGCTTCGGATCAGGCCCCAAGTGGGTGTCTAGAGGCCGGAGCTAGCTTGTGTTTACCTTGCTCAGGTGGATTTACCCTTTGCAAGGTGAAAGGTCGATGCTAACCCTGTGGCGATGTTGGAAACTGGCATTAAAACATTCCCTGATCTAACCCCCCTGCCATATGCCGTTCCCCAAGTGCCATTTCAGCTCGTCCTACACTTTGAAAGGGCAGAATGCACTCCTCGCCCCAGGGACATCCCTTCTCACAGCCTCAGATTTCACATCTGTCCCACAAAAACTCACACTGCCTTGCTGTTTATTACTGTGCTGCCCAAATGGCTGGATCACCAAACAAAGGCTGGGGAGAATGTCCCGGGTGTTTATGAATGTTTCTCCACAGCATCTGACTTTTGGCCTTCCTAGGTCCTTCCTTTGGGGTCTTTGTTCCACGCTGTTGTTGTTAGTGACCTCAAGACAGGATCAGGGCCCTATTGTGCTAGGTGCTGTACATACACAGACAGCTATGATTCTGATACCCTCAAGTTGAGTGGTACCTTCCATGAGTGGACTTTGAGTGAACCTTCATGGAATAAGGTGCTATTCAAGATAAAAGTGACAGTACCAGAATCTGTCCCATGATAAGGAACAGTTTGGGCCCCAGATGTTTATCGGGGGAAAGAGGGTTGATCACTTTTCAGATTAAGAAGCCCACAACATTCGGACGCTATTTTCGTACACTTTGGCCTCTTATCGTTATTTTGGGTCAGATCATAACTCAAGATTTAAGCCCTGAGGGCTGTCCAAATCATTAGTTTTGGTTTGCACTTTATAGTGATTGGGGCCGTCAGAATTTCAACCCCGGCTGAAGTTTGCCAGAATTTATATCTGTTTGTTTTTTTTAATTTGGTCCGATCCCTAATTACAATATACCCCCACTGCAACCACAGAACAGAATCCTTCAAATGGGTTTGCCATGACGTTATATCTTGGATCCATTTCTATATGTCATTGGATGCAGGGCAGCTTTCAGAATGTTGGGTTGTAGTGATGCTGTTAGTTACTGACCCTTTGGCCCATGTGTCTGTGGTGGTGCATTGTTCTATTCTGATCAAATGCTCTCAGGGGCTGCATATCTTGCTGGGTTTCAGGAATGTCTCAAAGCAGGAAAATGAGATTTTTTTTTTTTTTTTTAATTCTTCTCTTTTCAAGGGAAGCCATAAGACGGGGGCTTGAGATTCTTCAGTCTGAAGTGCCTGGAGGAGATACATTCATGCATGAAGGATTTAAAAGGGTACACACTGTGGAAACTTCTCGCTTTGATTTATACTTCTTAACTTCTGCTTCTTTTGCCCCTGTTGGACCTAAAAAGAGATAATAACTTTTTACTCTTTGTTGCAGGCAAATGAACAGATTTACCATGAAAACTATGGAGGTAGGGACACTTATCACTGCCATAATTTATTTTCATTGAGAAGCTGGGGAGGATGGGGTTGTCAGCATGACCTGTAATTAACCCGTGGAAGAAAGAAATGTTGGGGGAGGAGCTAGTATTACACCGTCTTTCCATTCCAGCTTGATTAAAGCCCTGCTTTCAAATTCATAGATTCTAAGGCCGGAAGGCACCACTGTGATCTTCTAGTCTTGACTTCCTGCATAACACAGGCTGGAGAATTGCATCCAGTGCTCCATGCAGTGAGCCTCGTAATTGCTCATCTGATTGGACGCAGTCTAGAAGTATTGGGCTTTACATGTATCATTCCATTTTGAAGCACCCAATCTTGTCTGCCTGATGTACCCCAAACTCTCATTTGACCGTCAGCATTGCTGTGAGTGCGATCTGACACCCATTGCATTCAGTCGGAGATGTCCCATTGATTTCACTGGGCTTGGGATCAGGCTCTCCATCCTTCTGAACTTAAAAGTAACCTAAAGTAGGGTGGGGGAGTATGTTTGTGTCCTTTTTTGCTTCTGTGCATAAAGGTGGCTTAACATTTAAAGAATGTCTTTTTCCTGCTTGCATTTTACCTTGGCTATATCAGGGATGTCAAGACTTTTCTTCCCTATGTTGCTGGAGGTCTCCTGGAAGGATGCAGAGATATGGGTTAGGCACTCACTAGGATCCTAATTGAATTAGTGGTGAGGTTTTAACAAAAGTGCCCTTCTCCCAAGAGTTTCTCTGGTGTTTGAGTTAAGTAGGTGTTAAGAAAAACAGAGTTCTGAAGAGCCTGCATAAAAATGGCCTCTCCTCTCATTCAGTCAATGAACCTACTAGTTTTCGAGGGAAAAAAAGAGTTGACATGACAAAGTAAAGTATGAAGAAGAAACAAAATGTAAAACATAAAATAACAGCAACGATCTTTCCAGCCTTCTTCAACTATTTAAAAAAAAAAAAAGCGAGGTCAAGACCCATTTTTCCCAGCTGCAGGTCACTTTTAAGGCTTCATGTTTGTGGCTATGACATGACATGGCAAGGACTGCACGGCATAAGAAACCTGTCAAAACTCATCAGGCTCTTAAATTTCCGGTAATACTGGAAAGACATTTGAAACGGAAAGAAATTATTTTAAAAAACAACATCCCTGGTCTTCCCCACTGCTCGTATTTTAACTGCTGGACCAAAGAAGTGACATCAGATGTGTGTCTGAGCCACAATATACGTACTGGTTGGGAGTAATTGTGCTAGAGCGCTATATTTGGCTGTACATTGCTCTGCTGTATACTTGGCTACTCACTGTGGCTAAAACTCGTCTGGAACAAAGCCGGCACACCCCTTAAGACCTATTTTGAAGATTTAGGTGGGATGTAAGGGGTGCATCAACTATGTGCTGGATCACCACGCATGGGTGAATTTTATCCCCTCGGCCTGCTCCTGCATTCTTTGCACACCTGGAATCCCCACTGACTTCAGTGCACATTCTTGCACAAGGAATGCAGGAGTTCTCACACAAATCCTGCTCACTATACTCACCTTGGTGGGGGCGGGGGAATTGCTCCCCTCTGACCTGCAGGAGGAGGCATTGGGATGGCAGGATGCATCCCTTAGGGAGATCACCCCAGCTTGCTCTGTCATGGCACAGGAATTGGCATCCCCTTCTATAAATGAACCCCCTGAACCACAGATCCCTGCTGCCTTTCTCTGCAATGGTCACACTCAGAAATGCTTGTCAAGGGGCGATTCCCCCCTCTCTTCTCCCTCTGGCCTCACCCCACCACAAGGTTCACTGGAGGATCCTCAGTGGGATCCAGGCAGGAAAAGTGGTGACCTGAGGCAGCAGGCTTCTGGGGAGGTCTGTGCATGGATGCTGCTGGAGCAGTACCCTCCCGACTCACACTGATTCCCTTAAGGAAAAGGAGTACTTGTGGCACCTTAGAGACTAACCAATTTATTTGAGCATAAGCTTTCATGAGCTAGCTGTAGCTCACGAAAGCTTATGCTCAAATAAATTGGTTAGTCTCTAAGGTGCCACAAGTACTCCTTTTCTTTTTGCGAATACAGACTAACATGGCTGTTACTCTGAAACCATTGATTCCCTTGTGCTGCTTGTATGATGAAGATGAGCAGGATTTGGCTCATAACACACTGTTCTGGGTCAGATCTTCAGCTGGCATAGATTGGCATAGCTCCATTGCAGTCACTGTACATCAGCTGAGCTTCAGAGCTCTGTATTCATTTGTCAGCAAAGAAGGATGCATTATCTAAACTTATTTATCCATTGCCAAAGCTTCTGTAACAGCCATACCTAACCCCAGCCATTTTCACTCTCACCCCTGCAGGACTCCGGACAGCTAGTGTGATTATTGCTCTGACAGATGGGGAGTTGCAAGAGGTTCAGTTTTATTATGCTGAGAAAGAAGTAAGTCCTCATTGAGTTTACCCAAGTTGCTAAGGGTATGTCTACACTGCAATTAGACACCCATGGCTGGCCCATGCCAGCTGACCTGACCTTGTGTTCCCGGGTCTGTTTAACTGCGGCATAGACGTTTGGGCGGCATCCCCAGCTCTGGGACTCTCCCAGCTTGCAGGGTCCTAGAAACTGGGCTCCAGCCTGAGCCTGAACATCTGCACTGCAATTAAACAGCCCTTTGCCCGAGCCCAAGTCAGCTGGCACCGGCCAGCAGAGGGTTTTTAATTGCAGTGTAGACATACCCTAAGTGGTTCATGTCAAACTTGTGAGCATCTGCTCTTGGTTCCAGTTTACGTGGCTTTGCATGTAATGGTGTCTTTCATGTAGGCCGACAGAGCCAGAAGCCTCGGAGCTATCGTTTATTGTGTTGGAGTGAAAGACTTTAATGAAACTCAGGTAATTTGGGAACTTTTTTTTTTTTTTGTTCTCCCCACCCATTCACAGCATCAAATGAGGTCATTTACTTAATTACCAGTGCATAAATCCATACCTGTCAGAGCTCTGCCTGTCAGCAAATAGGCTCGGTTTTAGATGCTGCAATTTTGTTTGTCTTGTGCATTTATGATGGTCTTTCATTGCAGCTGTCGACAATTGCTGACAGCATTGATCACGTTTTCCCGGTAACTGGCGGCTTTTATGCCCTGAGAGGCACAATTGATTCGGTGAGTGGGGTATTCCAAAAGCGAGAGAAATGCGCCCTTTCCCACATTCATTAAATGGCGAAACAACACCAATGATCAAAAATCCCATTATCTTCATCTCTTAGATTCTGAAGAAATCCTGTATTGAGATCCTGGCAGCTGAACCATCCAGTGTCTGTGCAGGAGGTGAGCTTATATTGAAATCAAATGATATGGCAAATGAGAGTGGAATTACAAAAATGTCTGATAGCTCCCTACAAAAGCACCAGATCCAAAGCCCATGGAAGTCAATGGAAAGTCTCCCATTGGGCTTTAGATAAGGCCTAGTGAGTCCGTGCTCAGCTCAAGAAGGAAGCTACAAATGTAAAGATAGGCTCAGCTTTTCAAAGTCACTGAAGGGAACTGAAATTAGTAGGCATTGGGGTAGTGTTTTCAAATGTGCCCAAGTGACTTAGGAGCCTATCTCATTTTCCAAAGTGACTCATGGCTGGATTTTCAAAGGTGTCTGGGTACCTAAAGATACAGAGAGGCACCTAGGCACAGATCCTCAAAGGGTTTTAGGCTCTTTACTCCCATTGGCATCCCACCTGCATAGGTGCTTTTGAAAACCCCACTAGATGCCTGTTTGTATCTTTAGGCACCGATATAGCTTTGAGGATCTGGTCCTTAGGAACCAAATTGTAAGAGAAAGGCAATGGGATTTAGGCTTCTGGTTGGTTATGTCATTTTGGGACCTAGATTCCTATATCCCCAAGCCAACTTTGAAAATTTCAGCCATTTATTACAATATTAGGCTCTGCTCTTATAGCCCTCATATATATAAGCAATCTTTACTCATGTGAGTAGTCCCAGTGACTTAAATTGGACTACTCAAATGAGTAAAGATTGCTTTGTCTGGGTTTAGAAGCCACACCCATCACTGTACTAACTGAGTAGTTTTCAGGCTGCTTGTTCCTGCTAGCCCATTTCTGGTTACCTCCCATCCACAGTCTGACGTAGGCCCAGCCTTGCTTTGCTTGAAAATTAAGCATGAGTAAAGCACAAGGTGATATGATTTTGCATGCATCAGGGGAAGATACTTACACGAGGAAGGGTTTGCAGAAACAGGGGCATGCTCAAGTGTTATAATCATGGAAAAGATTTTGGAAAGTACTTTGCATGAAATTATAGTATTGTGTGGCTGAAATCCAACAGTCCTTACTCAGGAAAAATCTCCCTTGAAATCAGTAGGCGTTATACCTGGCTAAGGACTCCAGAATGGAAAGTATTAAGTTGGTTACGAAGGTCAAAAGATTGTGAGCCATTTTCCAAAAATGTTTCCTGATTTATTATTTTTTCAAATTCAAAAATTTTTGACCAGCAATATAACTGGTCAATTAACATAAGGAAATTTAATGGCAATTTTGTTTATATTTTTCCTGATCTCTTCCCAGCATACTGAAATATTGTCAAAATTTCAAAATTTGGAAAATGATGACCAGCTCTGATAATAATGACAGGTTTCAGAGTAGCAGCCATGTTAGTCTGTATTCGCAAAAAGAAAAGGAGTACTTGTGGCACCTTAGAGACTAACCAATTTATTTGAGCATAAGCTTTTGTGAGCTACAGCTCACTTCATCGGATGCATGTAGCTCACAAAAGCTTATGCGCAAATAAATTGGTTAGTCTCTAAGGTGCCACAAGTACTCCTTTTCTTTTTACTGATAATAATGAAAATAATAATGAAGACACCTCATATCTTGCCTTTCATCTGAAGAATGCCAAGTGCTGCTTATTTTCTGAACAAAAGACCCACTTACTGTACCAATAGATTTGCAACCTGTGTCACAATGTTCAGGAAATATTAGCTCTATTAGAAACTGCAAGCAGTCAAAGCGATGATTTTGTAAAACACACACGGATGTTTCAGGTTTAAGGAAAGGTGATCGGAGCTTTACTGAAACAGAAATAATGAACTGCAAAGACCAAGATACTTGGTGGTTTGTAAAGTGTTAGCATTTTGCATATTCGTAATGAAAGAATTGCTAGTGTGTTTGGTAAATGCAAAGTATCCCCAGGGGAGCTGGTGCTAATGACATGCCTTTCGTGTTTAGTATATTGAACATGTAACCCTTCTGGTTTGTGTTAGCAATTCATTTGCTGTGTTTTTGTCTGTTTAGAAGACTATTGCAGCAGAGTAATAATGACACCATAAGCTTGCTGTAAGGTATAATTTACAGCATGGTTATTTAGAGCTTATGCTACTGTCTTGCATTCATTTGCTTATCCATTACAAAAATGAGCACATATAAAATAGCAATGGTGCATGAAAGCTGATTCCGAGCATGTCAGACCAAAGATGTAATTTGAGGAAAATCTAGTAAATATTGCAGAGAAGAGAAATTTTTGTTCAGTCTTCATTCCCACACGTCAATTGCTGGAGGATACTGCATTACATATTTCATTTTAAAACATCCTCTGGTGTTTCCGCTATTCTTCTGAATATTCCCAAAGGAGAAAAGGCGGAGAAGATATTTGCCACAAGACATTATCCATGAATTATTAAAAATGGAAGCTTACTGATTAAAAAAAAAAATCCTAGTAGAGCTGGTCAAAAAACAGAGGAAAAACTTGGTGAAAAACCACAAAATTTCAAAGCTGTTTTCAATTAATAAGGGTTTGAAATGGACCCATTTTTTGTTTTATTTATTTGGCAAACATTTTCAATATAAATGTGTGTGGAAATGGTTATCAGATTTGTTTGCTTGCTGAAAACCTGGTTTTGTCAAATGAAAAATTTCAGTAACCATTTCAATAACATGCTTTTATACGTTTTGATAAAAGTTATGAAAATTTCATGAAAAATTAAAGATTTTGCAAAGTTGATAATTTTCTTGAACAGTTCTCTCTCTTCTTTTTTTTTTTTTAAAAAAGCCATATTTCAAGAAAAATTTTTCCCAGTTCCTCTTCCTGGTTTATTAGTTCTACAACTTTCCCCATTTTGTTGACGGAAATAGATTAAAAGATTAACTGAAATACGTATGTGACTTTTGAGGTGAGCAAAATGTTTAATTCGAGCCAAAATGTTTTTTTTCAAATTTTTTGATTTGCTGAACATTTCTGAAAAATGTTATTTTTGGGTCAGCCCGAAACACTTTAAAATTCAATCAAAATTCAGCAAAACAATCAGTTATTTGCACAGTGCTGGTGGGTCATTTCATTGAAGCGGGGGCCACTGCTCATGGTTCTGTATGAGCTCTGTGCCTATTAATAAATATTTGGAGGATCCAAAAACCTTGATAAAGTGGCAAATCCTTACCTGCATCAATATCCCTGGACAACAATATACAGTTGTTATTTTGTTTAAATGCAGTGTAATTTATACAGTTTATTACTTCATCTTTGTTAACGTCTAACTCATATATGCACACACACACACAGAGATATAGTACAGACAGTCAGATATATAGATACACACACACACAGATATGTACATATAAATTCCTATCTCTAGATCTTTTGGAAATTTTCTTAAACCAACAGTAAAGCTTGTTTGCTTTCAGCGCTGAAATATGCACATCCTGGAGCCAGCCATGCATTTTGCATGAAATTCACCAAAGTGGGGGCGTAGTGGTTAATTGGGGGGTTATTCATAATTCTTACTGACAATTTTAATCTTTATTCTATAATGCCAGATTCTGTGTTACTAAGTCAATGGGACTTTTGCTTGAATAGGGACCACAGCAGGTTTTGCCTGTTCATTATGAACAATAATTACCATTATATGGTATTTACTATTTAGCAATGATCTCAGGTTCGCTTTTGAGGTGCCAGTGGTTTAATAAATTGCTGAGGAAATGACTGCTACGTGGCGTTAGCTGAATTCTGACTAGTTCCAGTCTGGGGGCTGTATGTCTGAGATGGAGCTGGCTGGTACATCCATTTACAAATTGATCTAGCCGGGTTATGACAGCTCTCTGATGCTTAATTCTTTTTGACCCTGCAAATTTATAGTTCCTTATGTGGGGAAATGCACTTAGGTCTTTCTGTTCCCTCTGATTGAAAGTGACCAAGACATGCAGCCTGTAAACAGGCGATCAGTGTGGAATTGGAGGTGCTGGCTCTGCTGTTTGACAGCATCATTGCTTTGATTAGGCTCTCGGTACACAGATGTGATTGAAAGGTTTTGCTGGATGTGGCATCCTGCTGGCCCTGTCAACTCCCAGGTGTGGATGCAAGCAGTCAGCTCCTCATCAGAGTCAGAGAAGCGAAGCCGACAGCACAGCCATGGCGCACCAGCTTCAGCCCACCATCTCGCTGCCAGCGCTGCCCAGTTATTTCACTGCTGACCTTTTTCCCTTCGCTGTCTTGTCAAAAGCAACAATCTAGATTCTGACAGTAACTAAGAAAGAAAAGGACGCAGCCAGAGCCAGGGCCCAAAATTAAATAGAATTAGCCATTTCAACAGGCCATCATCCCGAATATATTAATGCTCCATAGCATCTGAAGGGGGGACTGCTCAATAGCAACAACACAATCCAGCCTTGACTGTTTACATTTCCATACAAGACTGTTATTGAAACTATATTGTTCCCCATGTGCTCATGTGGACAGGTTATTATGGGGGCTCTGGGCTGCTTTAGCAAGCATCTGTGCAAAGTTGCAGTGACAGTGAGAGGAAGGGCAGGATGGATAAACTGTCTTGACAAGATTAAACTCCCAGATGAGGCCGTTACTGTGAACATTTTGCATTTAGAGTCCTCTGTAGTCACAGTGATGGTGTTTTTTAAAAAAAACAAACCCTCGAACATTAATAGTAATTACACCTTTGTGGCTGCTGTATTTGAAAGCCTGTTCCTTCAGCAAAGCAAACAGCTGTTTCATTTTAACGTGTTGCTTTTCTGTACGGACAAAAAAAATATCGTCTTGCCCAGATGGTGAGATCATTTTGAAGTTAGCGGCTGAAGAAACGGGTCAGAGGGCAAGACTTGGTATGCAAGGATATACATGTACAGCTGTCACTACAGCGTGCCATGCGCCGAGAGGGGAGTGTAACCCACGTTCACATTCTGGGTCAAACGCTACTGTCAGTTACCTTGGTGTCAAGGAGCAGTCTCTGATTCTGATCAAGAGTAACTGCAGTGAAGTAAGTTGGTTTATGTCAGTGTAAACTGATGCATGATATGAATCAGGCTCGGAGTAACTTG